ATACATAACTTCCAGCCAACATACTGCCAGAATCGTTGTGCCAGACACTGGGTCAAACGCCCATTTATTCCAAGTTAGGGAAGGCTGCGTCATTTATTTACATTGCCATTATTTTTAATTACAGCGCTAATTGTCAATATTTCATAATTATTAGAGGGGAGGGGTCACGCGAGGAACTTCAGGGTGGGGAAGCTTTCTGGCGAAGTTCTAGGTACGTTTGGAAATGGCTAACTTTCTTTCTTTGATCACAGCACCACGACAACACCTAGGTCTCAGCATAATAACCTCCAACGAAAATTTTATAGAATTTTAAAAGTTATATATAACACCTTATTGATAATAATTACTACATTATATATAAATATTATTATTTTCATTCTCTAGGGTAAGAATCAAAAGAGTTTAAATTAAATTTCAATTATTTTGAAATTTCCAAAACAATTGACACCTTATTATATATATATATATATTTGTTTTCTATATATGAATATTTGTATGTATAAATAAAATATGATGAATAGGAAAGAAGAACTTTATATAATGTTGTGCCCATGCTTGAACACTGTAACAACAGGCCATTCTATTCGTTCTAAAAAATTATGCGTTGTCATATATCCCATATACATACTAACGTTCCCAACGCTCATTGAACTTGTGAAAATATCGTAAGGTTTGGGAGGGTAGTTTTTTTACAAAATAATTGTTGTCGCGTCAGAGAATTCCGAGAATTGTGCAGAAAAGTCGGTTTCTGTGTATGTCCTGCGCCAACTAGGTACCAGAACGACTTACTCTCAGCTGAAGAAAGCTTGAGAGTTTCGGTAATTACTTTTTATAAAAATTTATATTTCGATGTCACCTACTCTTTTATCTATATATATAAAAATGAATGTTTGTTGGTCCGTCCGTAAGTGATAATCTTCTACATTGCTCAACCGATCGTGATGAAACTTTGGGAAGTTGTTTAGTATACTACCGGGATGGTTTCTGGCTAATTACTCTTTAGAAATAACCTTTCGTTGCATTTTTATTTACAATAAAACGTAAATTCACTCGCAATCAGCGCCCCCTCGCGGCAGGCGTATGGCCTGAAATAGCCTCGCATGAGCGTATTTGTAACGTCAAGCTTAGCCTATAGGTTAGGTACACAGCTTCGTACCCCCACAACCTAGGTTCGAGGCTCAGCGTGGGTGTTTTTTTTTTTTTTTCATTTCTTTTATATTATTGTAGCAAATTATTAAAAATATTATTTTATTTAAAATGTAGGCTTTTTAAAATGAAAATTAACATAAACAATTTTAAAATAATATTTATAACAAACCTAGGTTCGAGGCTCAGCGTGGGTGTCTTTTTTTATTTTCATTTCTTTTATATTATTGTAGCAAAGTCTTTTTTTACAGCATTATTATATTTTAATTGGTTTATTTTAAATATGTTTGTTATGAAGGCTTTATGTAATACTATTTAGAGCACATTTTACATTTTAAACACCTAAGCACCCCTCTTTTTAATATTGTAGCAAAATATTAAAAGTATTATTTTATTTTAGATGTTTGCCATGAAACTTTGGGAAGTTGTTTAGTATACTACCGGGACGATTTCTGGCGAATTATTTTAAAATAATATTTATAACAATAATTATAGCAAATTTTAAGACATATTTTTAAATTCTGTGTTTGTGCATATATAAATATTTTACAAAAATTGTGAGAACGTTCTATTAGAATATCTCAAAAACAAAAAACAATACATATAAACAAGTTCACTGACATTTATTAATGCAGTGATTATAAAGGGCTATATTATCTATATATATAAAAATCACTTTCAAATTTTAACGTAACGTTCCATTCTCAATCCCGTAGGGCTTTAGATCGGCTAAAACATTTTTATCTTTATAAGTGAATATTAACTTTACTGTACTGAATAGTTTAGTATAATATTAATTTAACATATGTATAGATAAATATGGGGCATATATTGGATATAAGTTTATTAATCGGCCAGTATTTTTAGGGGCAACACGCCTCTATTTATCAAGGCTTTTCTTTGATTTAAACTAAATCACGCGGGCATGTGATCCACTCACGCTATACAAGACCAGAGCAAGATATCATTTAAAGAAAATATATATATTTGTACATACATGTTTATTGAAATTGTATACTTTATTCCTGTAGAAGGGCAGCTTGCGCCCGAAAGCTCGAATTAATTTTACAAATAAAGAAACTTATCCTTATCGAATCTAATCGTTATTATAATATTACAACTTAGCCACAGCAACGCGTGGCCGGGTTCGCTAGTAGTTTCTATGCAAACGTTACTGGGCTAAAAGAGTTTGAACCAAAGCCACTCCGTTGATATAGGTGGTAGGTTTCCTTACCTTTTTTTATTATCCTTAGTACACGTGGTACAGGCCATGATAATCATGGTGGGTAGAAGTTGGCGACTGCTTTTACTGTAAATGCACCACATGTCTAGACATGTGAAAAGCAGTTAGACCTTTGCACTTACAAATGTGCCAGAACCCCGTTTGATTACTTGCACTCGCTGTTGGGGTTGAATTTTTGCAAGTATCGGGGGCCACTGAATATTTTATTTATTTATAAAAAGTGCCCAATGTGGGATTCGATCCCGAGTCGTAGCGGTCGAAAAGCAACGGTTTAGATCATCCTTCCACCGACCCCCTGGTTTCCTTACTTAAAGATCATCAGCATTACAGATTTTGAAATTCTGCTACATTGTAGGGTGACAAGTAGTTGAGGCCAGAGGTACTAATTCCTCAGGCCTAAAGTTTATATTCTTCACTGCCAACTAGAAATAGAAATAGATGAGAAGTGGATAAAAAATCTAACAGTAGCCCAATATATGTGGAAATGCTCATAACATTTCTTGCTTAGCTCTTCGGATGTTTCTAAAAATATGATTTTAAATGAAAAGGAGAATACGCTATTTTGTTTCTCCATAAAGAAACAACACGGTCTGTTAATGCCTTGATAACTTCTACGAGTTTATTATGGGCAACAACTTCAATAATAGTCTGTAGGCATCAGAGTTAAGGATTACAAGCTCTTGTTTATATATGTTTATATATGTGTATTACTGAAAATTCCATTCTTTTCGGCTAAGCGAATGTATGGAGATAATTCCTATAATGAGATGGATATACACTGTAGTAATTTATTCTTTCTGAGAAAATATATAAGTAGATATAATAAGTTTATTTTTCCTATATAAGAAATATAAATCTTGTAGTTGGATTCTCACAATAGTTCTCTCATACAACCTTAGTGACGCATTGTAGATCTAAGTTGCTCAGGTCAGGATAGCTCATGTAGCCCTTAAGGTTTTTTATTTTGAAAATGTGGGGCGGAAACCTTTTATTTATTAATTTTTATGTGAGAATTATACTTTTTGAGTTAATATATTTTGGATCTTCCTCACCGTTCGATAATAAGTGACCTCAATTTAGAGATAGAATTTATGTTTCAATTATCTCTGTGCCTGAAGTTTTCTGTTCAAGGAAAAACCTAAATGTCTCAAGTTAAAATTGTGATGGCATGTAGGCATATATATTGATTGGTATTTTTCCGGTAGGAAATAATTAACATATCAGAATAACGAATTAAAAATAGTCCCAAAACACATTGAAGCATCTATCGACACTCTCTCTTTTCATATAAATATTTATAGTTATTTTATAATAAAACATTTCCAATTCAAAAAAAAATAATAATAATAATAAAAAAATACCCAGAAACTCATCAAGAAATATTCGGAACATTTATCGCAATCTCTATCTCGATTATTATAAATTCTAAACAACTATTCTCATCAGTTTAGAATCACAAGCCTTCTTTGAGAACCCTTCAAATTGGAATGAAGAACAAGAAATGTTGCGTCAACGGTGTACATCACCATCTGGAAGCGAATGGGATCAGAATAACCGATATTCCAGAATACCGAACAAGTATCAAAGACCTGCTATAGACCCTAGGAATCCACAGGAACACTATATCCATCAATGATCACCCTAACACCAGAAGATTAAGAAATAACGCTTTCCAAATATCAGTAGACATTCTCAACTTACTCCACAATAACGCGCTCCGTACTTAAAATAATATATGCAATTTCTCTCGCTAAGAGAACGACAAATGAAGTAATATAATTATGTAAATTTACCGCATGTATATGTTAATATACTAAATTATAGAGCGCCATTTCGCTCAGAATCGCTTCTGCAGTGAAATGTAGTCCACGCCATTTTAGCTTTCTACGTTTTCTCGTTGAAGATTTTCCCATAAAATGTGTTTAATTCTAAAAGGAATTAACGTTTTAATTATTTTTTTGATAGGGAAAAATTAGAATTTGGGTAAAAAGTTTATATTTTATTTCAAGGTTTTTGCAACTTTTGGAGCATGTTTTGCTCTTCAACGGGAAAATAGTATTGTGTTCGATATCAAAATGATCTTTTTACAAAAATAATTAACACAAATCATTAACGCGCCATCTCTACATATAAAATGAAAGGATTTAAAAAAGCACGAATGTTTCTTTTATACATAATACAAACTTCCACTGCCCTTACCGCGATTAAAAATATATTGGGAGGGCTTGGCTCATCTATGGTGAACCTTCCCAGCGGTTTCGCCAATTTAATCCACCAGACCGCTTCTCAGAGCTCTAATACTGTATTGGACGATTCTGCTTATATACGCAGCACTGAAGGATGAATTCTCAGAAATGGTTTTCAAGAAAACTATAGACATAAGCTTATAGGACAGTAGAATTACATTCAAATATTTACATCGAGAAATGCTCTTCCGCAAACAATAAAGACAAGGCCAGTTAGGCATGAATTAACACAAAGCAATAACCATGTTGTTATTACCATGTGCCCGCCTGCGCGGGCGTGAATTACACTATTTACAGCTAAAATAAAAGATAATAAAATATTAACACACACAAACAAATATATAGATATTTTTATTGATTCATTCGTTTCATTTTCTCCTTTTCACCGGTTCTCGTCCGATCAGGTGAAGTTAAGCAATGTCGGGGCCGGTCAGTACTTGGGAGGGTGACCTCCTGGGAACACCAGGTGCTGTAGGCTATTACCTTACTGCCTTTCACATTAAGAGTACACGTGGTACAGGCCATGATAATAATAGTAGATAGAAGTAGGCGACTGCTTTAACTGTAAGTTCACCACATATCTACACATGTGAAAAGCAGTAAGGTAATAGCCTACAGCACCCGGTGTTCCCAGGTATTCACCCTCCCAAGTACTGACCGGGCCTGACATTGCTTAACTTCGGTGATCGGACGAGAACCAGTGAAAACGAGAAAATGAAATGAATGAATGCATTTAAAATATCCAAATTTAGTCTTACGTAAGACTATAGAACGGCATTAATACATTCTGTTTAGTCATGATGAAAAATATTTTTTTTGGGAATTATAGAAAGAGAGTCTTAGGGATATTATCATACTGGGTTAAGAAATCTATTTTTATATTCATACTATTTATTTTTGATGATATTAGTTCTTCCTTTCCTTGTTCTTTGTTTGTAATCTTACAAATTACAATACTTTTGTCAAGTAAATACCCTAAGGCTATCAAGATTTATTTTCAACTTTCAAATTTTATTATATGATAACCTTCATTTTTTAATAAAGCTATTCAATAGATACTATATATCATATAAGTTATATATTTATGATCTTCATTATTTAAGATCGCACATAAACTCACAAAGACTAGGTTAAAAGGAATCTAAAAGGGCGCTATACTAACAAAGTGCTCATATTTCTGAGGACTCCCACAACAACAGTTCGGTTCCAGGTTGTGGAACTCTCCTAGTGTGCATATAGAATTATGCAAGCAACCATATTGTAAACTTTATAAACTTGTTACGTTCTCCCATTGATTTTCTTAGCCATGAAAAGGCATGGACCTTTGTGTTTATAAATCATATATCTATGTTTATAGACACTTAATTTCCTCCCAAACCGATCTTTATAGAGATATATCTATATATATATAAATGAATGTTTGTTTGTATGTCCGGTATACAAATTCGCAGTAGTTCACTAATTCAAACCAAAATTTCCATACATAGGTAAAAAATACGGGGAAGACGATAGGCTATCTTAAAAAATATATAAATCAATTATTAAAACTATATATTTTCAGTCAGGAAATGATGATGACGATATTGCTGTATCATGTTTGATTATCAGATACAAATTTATATCGGGAAAAATTCCAAAAAGCAGAGACCACGGGTGGAACCAGTCCATTATTTTGTACGCAGGAACAAAATGCTAACAGAAAAACATTCATTCGAGCAGAAAACAAAAGCCAGATCATCTTTCTATAAAAATATCGCTTCTCAGACACAAAGTTTGGAGCGGGACGTTTCACAAGAGTGACATCCACGGCGCCAATTTATAATTGTAACGAATAGTATTTGAAAATCAAAAAATAATATAATTTTCAAATATCGTTGTGAAAATTTACATATTTATTTTTATATTTTAAAAACACACAATGTTTGGAGCGGGACGTTTCACAAAAGTGACATCCACGGTGCCAATTTATAATTGTAACGAATAGTATTTGAATCAAAACATTTAATCGGGTAAAACCCGGGCGTTGCCCGGGTCATTCGGCTAGTATATTATAAAGGATCTACCTAGGGAATACCTACTATAGCGACTTTCACAAGGCGACCATAAACTACGAGCTCTCAATCCACCGAACACTAGGGGTTCAACATATCAAAGCTTAGATTGCTGTACAGTATGTGGATGTTGGATTTTATAGCGTTCCTCTCATGTCGTACATCCACCAAGGCCTTTAGTAAGACATTTATTTACTACGGAGTCTGCAATGTAAAAAAATAAAAGGTCAAAGCTCTAATTATATTCATTTATAATAATTTTGCTGATATATACACAAAATCTCAATTAGTTTCTCAGTCCAAGGCCATAGCTCGGAAATATTGCCTTCAGGTGGACGCTTCTCAGTTTAACAAAGTGTTGTGGCTTTGTCACCTACCTGAGTTCGCCAGTTTGCGGAGACATTCAATAGATGGCGTCTAGTTTTGAAGTTTATTTTGACGCTGATGAGGTGACCGTTATTTTTTATTTTAAATTAATATTTTCCCGGCAAAAAAACATATATATATATATATATATTATATTAAAATATTTTATTTAAAATTATATTTAATCGATTCAAATACTCTGTTAAATCTACCACCAGATGTCGGGACTTTCCCTATATAAAACCGATTGTTGTTGTTTCACGTTGGTCGGCTCAAAACATTTGTACATTATGTAAATAAGCTTTTCATTTTTTTTTTATTCTTACGCCTTAAGCCAGGCAGTACTTTAATCAAATTATGTTCTTATATATTACTTTAGCTCAAATAAAACAATCTCTGATCAAAACCATTTTTGTTATTATAATTGCAAGATTTTAGCCACGACTGCATCACCAATAACATTTAGTCCTAAAAAAGAACCTGCAAATAACTACATTACCATAATCCTCAACTTTATCTAAATTTAAGCAGAAAATTATCTCTTTTCTATTTATAATATATATACATATACACCATATCAATCTAATATTCTATTTCTACAATCGTAGCAATGGTAATATAAGAATTAACAGATATATTTGCTTGTGTATACTTGTATATATTTTAGAACAATACAGACATTACGTTTAAAATACACGTGGCGGTTAGTTATTGAAATGAGATAATTATCAAATTTTCAAATCATTGAAACTATACGGATGTATAAAAAATAGCGCTTTTCGTCGTTAACTCCGCTATCACTTCTATTTGAATACTACGTTGGGAAGTAAAAAACACGGTGCTGGATCTGTCCCACCTTGTCTACTTATACAATTTATATAATATAACAGAAACATATGTTAACGTTTAATATTTTGATATTGTTGTTGTTGCGCAACATTTGGTGCCTCGGGATATGGATCAGATTGCAGGTTCGAATCCTGATTGTCTTTCTTGAGATATCATTTAACTTGCTTTCATATCTGTCCACAATTCTTTTATACCAATTATTAATATACTTGCATAGCACCTAGAAATCTGAAATTTGGTTCACTCATTCAAAGCTGTTGGCAATGGAGGCTGATGGGTGGTCGTAAATAGACTAATTTCCATATCTACCCTTGGATTTTATGATGAATTTTAAAATAATTACATAATAACTAGGACTCTGAAATTTTATTGAATTGCTCAAAACCTCAAGTTCCTACTTCAGAGATATATATAGTCTAGAAAATACTTTTTTCTATAATTCTATTCAAATTTTGTGATCAATTTTTATTATGATCCCATACCACGCAAAAGTCCTAAATTGCGTATACTTTAAAACCATGTCATAATGCATGTGTATAAAATATTATACTTTTATGTGGACTTGTGATGGTCTGGAATATACACTATGGAATAAATTTTGAATATATTTAAAAAGGAGAAAATAGGCTCAACCGTTTGTATCGAAGTAAGCGTCTGGGGTTTCATAAAAATAAAAATATATATGTGATAATAAAAAATCGGTAATAGGAAACTAGAGCTATAAATAATGGGAGCATATATTGCCAGAAATATATATTCATTCTAGAAAATATTTACCTCTGATCACAACAATTTATAATAATATATGAGTATAATAATAGAGACATAATTTAAATAGATGGAAATTTTGCCGGGAGAATATTGATCTACAGAGACAAAGGTCGCCTCTCCCGTCAAAATAGACGTCAAAACTAGACGTCATCTATTGACCGTCGCCGCAACTAGCGGCCTCGGGTCAGTGACAGCGGGTCGGGTCTCTAGGTGAACGCTTTTAAATTTGTCAAATCTGGTGTTGTGGCTTTATCACCGACCCGAGGCCGCTAGTTGCGGCGATGGTCAATAGATGACGTCTAGTTTTGACGTCTATTTTGACGGGAGAAGCTACCTTTGTCTCTGTTAATAATTATATATAAAGTTTGTGCTATTTCAATACATTTTCATCATACTACATTTACACTTCAATAAAAAAAAATTACTCTCTAATGAATGACAACAATTTCCATTTTAAAAACAAAATTTCACACTTTATTAGCAATATTTTAAAATTTTAATCGATAGTTTTCGATTTCATTTGATATATTTCAACATATATTTGATATATGGATAGCTCTATTTTCCAAAATATTTGATATAATATTTGGATCGGAAATTCATATTAGTTCTCTACCAAAAAAGGGATATAAGAAGGTTTATGTATGAAATGTTGTGAATAATAAAATTTTCCAAGGTTTCTGTAGATATTTCTCTGCTCTATTGCTTTAAATTTATAAAAGGAACAAAGAATAAATAACCGTTTAGTTAAAGTTTAAACTTAGGTTATTTGTATGTATGCAACTATAGGAACTCAAGAGGATGTATGCAGGCTTGGAATTATTCTTATAGTAAACAGTTTTGTGCTATCTATTTTCTCTTCTTATAATGAGCGTATACAAAAATGGCAAAACTATATTGATATATTTTTTTATGGTAAAAGATTTTGCTGTGGTATCTGTTAAGCATATTCAAAATAGACTGTTCCTGTTCTGAATGATATTCATAATATTCCATTTCCTATCCAAAAGTTATATAGTCTATACACCAGAGAATATAAACATAGCACATAACTAAAGAAATATTATACACGATTTTTTTCGCAGTCCAAGAACTTTTGAAAACAATCTGAGAAACCTTATCACAGAGAGTAGAGGTCAAAAATAATAACTCCAACAAAAACAGAATTTCATATATTTAGTATAGTTCTTAGAATATCATTCTATTTATATAGTTGAGACCAATAGTAAAATAAAGAAACGAGACTCAAGAAACATAAATATAATACAGAGAACACAGCCACATCAACTAATAGTTTACTTCAACTACCGACGTTTCAGTGGCTCCTTGAGCTCTTTTCAGGGGAGTGATGAGAACATTGCCCTGAAGAGAATGACAAGCAGGTCACTGAGGGAGTTGAAATACAACAACAACAACAAAAAGCCTTTATTCAGGGTCACTGACCCTATACAGGATTCACCAGAGGTATGCATAAGAACAAAGCAGTGAGACAAAGGAAACAACGATATAGACAGAAGAAAAAGAAAAAAATACAAGTAAGAGAAAGAGGGAAGCAAGAAAAACAACACAAAAAGAGTAGCGAGGGAGTTGAAATGAAGTATTAGTTGATGTGGCTGTGTTTTTTCTCTGAATCAACTTCCAACCAATAAATGATCTTCAGATAAATATGACATTTAAAAAAAATAATCCT